TTTGACACCCTCTTAGAGTCTACCATTAGAAGTGTTGTCCAGAAGTTTCATGACCATGGACCCCTAAACAGTGGGAAAATCGATAAAACCCAAAAAACCGATCGCCCAGATTGTGTCTGAACCGCGATATCGGTTTTTAGCGAAACCAAGTGGATTTATGAAGAGGCCATTGGGAGTCATCATGTGAAGTTTCAACTCTGAGCACCCCCCAAACAAAGTGCAAATCGACAATCGGTCAACCCTTAAAAATCTTTTTCTGTTTTTTTTTTAAAAGCTGATCGATTGTGTTTATTTTGTTTAGTTCTTTTTTTGGTAACAGATTTAATGTTTACTATAGAGCTTAGAAAAAAGTTGGCAGTGTGATATAGGCAAGAAGTAAGGCATGTAACAACATCAGCACGGCAGAGGGCACTCCTCTAAAGGCAAGGAAGGGCAAAAATATTTTAAGTCAAGTGATAGCGATTGCTGTATTAGTCGTACTATTTTTTAATCAAGCATGGGCAACGCCGGGCCATGCTGCTAGTATCTTTTAAAATTCCCCTGCATCTTATATGTCATATGTAGGTTTACAGGTCGTGATAGCCAGCCAAAATTAGCTACCTGGCAACTCCTATTAGCTTTCATATACCTAATGCCATTATTTAAAAGACTATTATGCAGATTAAAAGTGTCATCATTCATAATATTCATTAGATTAATTTCATCACGTTTAATATTAGTACTTTGTTTCACTAAAATTATATGCGATAAATTCAAGTTATATATTTGTAAAATTTATGTTTCATTAATATTTTTCTTGCGTTAACTCCTGGTTGCATTGGTATAAATACAATCAGAATTTTTATATCCTAATTATTCCACTAAGATGTTTACATGATGCAGGTTGTACAGATCATATAAAGGAAAATTTTTGACTGAATTTTAATGTAACTGTACTGTTTTGTTCAATTGTAATAATTGCTTGATTTTTATTTTGTTTTCTTATGTTTGGATATAATGCAGTTTTTATAGGCTTGTGTTCTTTTTTTCCTATTATTTTTTGTTTAATTGTAATCATGTCTTATTTAACCAAAATAATACCTCATAAATAGAGCCGAGGCTGTACCATTCACTAATAATTTTTACTAATTACTAATTTTTTTTCTTGATTTGCCCTGATTAAATTGGGGCGCATCTTATAAACCCATGCGTCTTATATGCTGTCAAATAAAGTTATAAAATAATGACTTTTTATTAATTTATTGAAAGAAACCAAATATGTTCCATACTTAATACAGCATTTCCATCATATGCAACTGAAGCAGCAAATGTAAAAAGTAAAAAAAAAAAAAAAAAAGAATCTTTATTCATTAATCTAAATGCATGTCTATGAAATTGTATGCAGCTCAACAATCATTGGCTTTTAGTAACCAGATACGATGAGAAGACAAAGCTTGGATGCTCAGAAATGTGAGAAAGCTGAAACAGTGTCTTTTCCTTATGACCAAATAGCAACAAAGGACATTATTCTAAAGGCAATAAAACAGCCATTACTGCAGATAAATAATGAACCCTTCCACTTTAACTGCATGGAAAGATGGGAGATACAGTTTACTTCTAGTCAGATAAAGAAAGCATACATAGAAAGGGAAAAATAAGATAGTAGAGGTGATAATGCTCTCATGTGTTTAATGTCTGTTCCAGTGAAATGAAAAATCAATTTTTCATTTGTACCCTCTTACTTCTTTAAATAATGACCTGTATTCATACTTATGATTGTTATTGCAATACTAGGTTAAAATTAAACTCAAATATCTAACAATATAATAATGGAATTTTGTATTCAATTCATAAAAGAATGAGAACAAGAAAAACACGAAATTTTCATGGGTTCTACAAGTGAATAAAAATTTAATATAGAGGAAGAAGATGATTGAAAATGCTTCATCTAATAAAAATAGTGATAAAAAGCAAGTAAAATGAAGATGAAAGTAAATACTTGGCAAAACAAGTCAGAAGATAAAAAATGAGTAAAAATTAATAATAATGATTGAAAATGCTTCATCTAATAAAAATAGTGATAAAAAGCAAGTAAAATGAAAATGAAAGTAAATACTTGGCAAAATGAATAATAATGGTTAACAAAGCTTCATTTAATAAATATAGTTCAACAAAAAGATAAATATTTGGTTGAACTAACCTGATGGACACAAAATAATGGTCTGGTTTATCAATTATGGTTTAAATTAAACTTCTTACTAAAAACTTAAATTGAAATTTTTGTAAAGTTGTACCGTTAGAAATCAAAGAAAATTTGGTTTTCCCAAACCCTTTTAAAAATGACTTCTTGATTAGATGGTGAAAGTTTAATTTTATACAGTTAAGATTTCTACAACGTCATTTAATTTTCTTTATGACATTTAAAGCTGAACAATCGTTTCACAGAGGAAAGAGAGACTTGAAGTGAAAAAGAGGTTTGTTTGTTTAACAGCACATCAACTCTTTATGGGTCATTTAATGCCAAAATTTAATTTTGTTGGGAGCTTTGAAATAATAATATATGTTATTCTGCTTTCACAATTGAATAAATGGTAGATGACACTCAGCTTTAATACAAATGATTCTGTAGATATGATTACTAGAGGCGGTGAAATGTGCATTTTATGTTGTGGTTTTGTTTAAGTTATATTTTGGAATACAGTTAGATTTCTTTAAGGAATTATAGGATATTATATGGATTAATGTCATGAAAGAGTTCTTTCATGTTGATTGTTTGGTTGATTTTGCTTAGCAGTGTATCAATCTCTATGGGTTATTTAATGCCAGAATCTAAATATTTTGTACACAATTTTATGGCTTCAACTAAATATATTTTTAATGCAATTGTATGCTTTCAAAAACAGATAAAATGTATTGTTGGTAATTCTACTTTAGAATGTATTGTTGGTAATCTTACTATACAAATATACTCTTATACTTTCATAGTGTTTTGTTTTTTGTTTGGGCATTTCCTATTTGCTCATAGCAGGGACCCCAACAGGTGCTATCATCCAGAGTCAAGGCAGATCTGGAAAGAGCAGCAGTTAAGAAGTGGTTCCATGCTCCTCAAAACCTCTTGATCAGAGGCTTTGCTGTTGGATGTAGTCTATTGTCATACCTAGGACTTGACGCAGAGGCAGTTCTACTGATGAGTGCTGAGAATATCATGGATAGATAATGATGAGGAAAGAGAACTTGAGAAATATAACACACACAGGGCATAGTGAAGGCAAGAGATGCAAGGGGCAACTGAAAGTAACCATACTTAACGGGTTTGTGTGAATGGATAAACAGAAGGAGGACAAAAAAGGCATGGTAAAGAAAGTTATTTTGAAAAACAAAATAAATGAACAGCTATGATAACTCATATCCAAAATAGAGTTTCCCAACCTGGGCAATATCACTCACAGTGGGGGATTTCAACTGTTGGGGGATTTGGTTTGCTTTATTTTACGGCATATCAACCTCAATGGGTTATTTAATGCTGACAATATTTTTAGGATAGATTTGTATGAATAGAATATGTATTCTTTGGTTTAGATTGGTTTGGTTTATTTTGTTTTATGGCATATCAACCTCAATGGATTATTTAATGCCGACAAGATTTTTTATTGCTGGTAATATTTTGTTTTGTCAAAAATCTGTTTCTGGTAATATTTTTCCTTCAAAATTGTATTGCTGGTAATAATTTTTTTCAAAAAGTATTGCTAGTAATAGCTAACCATTTGCCTATAGCTGGGAGCCTAACAGATGCTACCACTCCGGGTCAGGGTGGACCTGGGAACACTAGCAGTTAAGAGGTGGTTCCATGCTCCTCAAAACCTCTTGATCAGAGGCCTTGTTGTTGGACGTAGTTTATCATCTTACCCAGAATGTCTACTGTTGGGTGGATAATATAGGATTATCAGTATTAAACAGGTATTTCAACATACCCCCCCAAAAGTATTTAAAGAACCTGTATTAAGAAAAAATCAGGAAGCTAAATTGGAATAACTGAGTCACTTACCAAGATAAGACAAATATCCTGCAAACAAGGGATATTTTGGAATTTTCCATAGTTTTGAGAAGGGGTGGTTAATATTCAAATAGTTCTTCAGGTGAGATAACTTTTTTTGGATATAAATCAGATAAGTGAAGACCAAAAACAATTTTGCCAGTACATTTTTTTATCACATTAGCCATCTTGAATTTATCAAGATAGGAAAAATGCCCATCAAAACATAAATTACTCATCACTACGTTTGTGAAACGTTGACCAAACGGATCATAGGTCATAAAAGAAGTTTGTATGTTTAACAGCATATCAACATCCTTATGGGTCATTTAATGCTGAAATTTAATTTTCTTGGGAGCATTAGTAATTATTTTGACAAATATATTGCTAGTAATTTTTTTTTGGTTGGTAATATTTTTTACTATGAAAATGTATTGCTGGTATTTTTACTATAAAAATTTTGATACTTTCATAGTGTTTTGACTCCAGTTTAGGGCTTAACTATTTTCCAAGAGCTGGAAACCTAACAGGTTCTATCACCCTGTGTCAGGGTGGACCTGAGAACAGCAGCAATTAAGAGGTGGTTCCATGCTCCTGAAAAGCTCCAATCTCTTGATAATTGGCCTTGCTGCCAGATGTAGTTTATCATCATACCCAAGACAGCATAAAACAAGTAATTAAGTAAATACTGAAAAGTTTTCAACTTATGTTTGCATTTCATTCTTCTTGGAGTTCAATTTTGTTATAATGGTGCTGACGTAGCAAGGAATGTAAATTTCATGTTTTTGAACAAAATCATTATGATTCCAATCATGAAAACGAAGAGAAAGGTTGGTCAAAATTATCAATTAAAAGATGTATATTTGAAAATGACCCCCCCCCACGAAAACAATGGAAAAGAAAAAAAGGGAAAAAATATTCCAATTGGCACCATTTCAAAATCATTTGATTAATTAAAACAATGAAAGATAGAAACAAAAATCCTTACCCGCCCTTCCAAGATTGCTCGTTTCTGCTTGTGAATTTTCTTATATTCTCCAAAGTCTCTTTCATCCAAGACCTTAAAAAGAAAGAAAAAATAATTTGCAGTTAAAAATCAAGAACATTTGAAAAAATTTAAAGGAGCAAAATTTACCAAGAGAAATAAAAAGAAGGAAGTAGTGGAGAGCCTTAAACGTCCATATCCTGAGGGGTTATGGCACATAAAAAATATATATATTAATATTCATTAGTACACATAGATCATAAATCAGAGAAATAATCAAAATATTCCTCCTGGGGGTAAAAAGAATATCCTCATCCCAAGCAGTTATCAGCCCTTAAGAGATTTCAATTGTTAAATCACTGGAGTTCTGATTGAAATGATGTAGAATCTGAGTATGTGAAGTTTGTAAAATTAAAAACAGGAAGTTGTGGAGGGCCATAATTCATCCATGTCCTGAAAGAACACAGCACATAAAAAAGAAAAGAAAAGAAAAAGTGAATGGATGGCAAAGAGAAATGGTAAAGAAACTAATGTTACTTTGAGCAAAAAAGCCAGGAAGTTGTGGAGAGCTATGATCGTCCATGTTCTTACAGAAAATGGCACATAAATGAAGAAAAAGTGAATGGATAGCGAAATAGGGACAATGAGTAATGGCAAAGAGTCTAATATTATTTAGAGCAGAAAAATGGAAGTTGTGGAGAGCCACGAAACTTTATGCCCTCAACAAATTTGACACATAAAAAAAGCAATGAATAAATAATAGAATAGGCACAAAGGGATGTTAAAAATGCAAAAGTTACTTAAAGACACACATAACAGGAAGTAGTGGAGAGCCATGAATTCCCTTGCCCTGAAGAGACAGTACACATAGAAAGGAAAAAGAGAAAGATATTGTATATTAATATTGAGAGTGAATATGAATTTCAGAGAAAGAATCAAAACGTCCTAACTGGGGGCAAAAAGAAAGATCCTCACTCCAACACGTTAAACCAATCAGCCCATAAGAGATTTCAATTGTTAAATCCATGGACTCCAGACTAAACTATTGTCTTGATTGAAAATTTGAATATGTGATATTAGTACAATTTAGTTGATATATCTAAAAAAAAAAAAAAAAAAAAAAAAAAACCTATGAAAATCAAGTATTATAAGTTGATTTTAGAAGAATGTAAATTGATTTCTCTTTCAAATTTAGCCTCCTTGGTTATGAGATAGAGTTTTGGAAATCTACAATTTTGTTAAAGTTGCCGGTTTCCCCAAAGTTCTGGCACCACTAAGGTGTTGCTGTGTATTGAATAAGTGCTATGTGATTGTGGGTATATTTTAGTCATTTTCAGCCTTAAAAGATTAAAACAAGATGAAATTTGACACATTTGAGCCACTTTGGTAAATGAATTACTTTTGTTAAATTTACTCCAAAATCTAGAATGATTGACAGAAAGTAGAGGAGAGCCATGATTTCTCTTGCCCGAAAGGACACACTGCATGTAAAAAGAAAAAAAGACATTGCATATTGAGAGTATAGATTTCTGAGAAAAAAATCAAGAAGTTCCACCTGAGGGGCAAAAAAAATATCCTCAAAAAAGAATATTAAAAGTCAATTTTTAATGAAAATAAATTGATTTCTCTTTCAAATTTAGCTTTCTTGATATTTCTAGTTATGAGATATTGTTTTGGTAATTTACCATTTTGTTCTAGCGGCAGATTTTCAAAAAGTTGTCCATTTATGACAACTCTATTGATCATGTGACAGGTGTTAATACTGTTTATTGAAATACAGTGTGACTTAATTGTAGGTGGTGCATACAAGACTAAATATATGAAATTTGCAGATGCATTTTAGTAATTCTGGCCTTAAAGGATTAAATTCAGCCCAAAGCCATACAAAAAGGTAAACCTGACTTAAAAAGGTAAACCCAGCTTAAAATAGAGCTCACAATGCAAAGAAAAGAAAGTTACTTTTAGGGTCACAATTACTTTGTTTTACAATGATAAGGAGCAGAGCTGAAAATGTCCAGATACGTAGACCAGGTTGGGTGGGCAACATTCCATGTATCAGTTTCTCTGCACAAAACTTAAAATGCACCATACAGATCTTATAATTTCTTTAATTCTAAAGTCATTTATATACAAGAACTGCTGGAAAGTTGTCAGCCTAGCCAAGAAAAACTCTTCCAGAAAATATTCTAAGACTTAGTTAGATTTTGGAAAGTGGAGTGTGGCCAGGAACTTTTTATCAGCACCTCATGAATATATTCAGCATTTTTATATAAATTATTGATTTAGCATCAGGAATAAATGAGCATTACTTTCCTGAACAAGATTTTGGAGTCCGTTTATATTTTGCTAAATTTTTAATATTTGGAGCTAAATTAGTTACTGAGAAAAGCAAAGAAATCTTTTTAAAATTAGTCATTCAATTGGTGTTGATAGCAAACACAGAAAGGAAACTATAAGAACTCCTACAGAAGGTAGTAAATGGAAGGTAAGAAGAAAGGACTCAGCATAAAATTGCAAGAACAACAAATGCATAGTTGTTAGCAAAAGGAAGAGCCCAACATGCAAATTTAACAAAGGATAGAAAGTGTGACACTGAGATCTGAAGATGCGTTAGGATAGTGAAAAATGTTTTTCAACTAGAAAGTAAAGTATTAAGAAAAAGAAAATTTGGACAGAAACTAAGAAAAACTATTGAACTATTATGTAATATCAGTCCTCCTGTTTCATCTGTTATGATTCATGATGATAATGATATTTCATCGTTTGAATACTGATCATTCAAATAAGATCTTGTTTTTGATTTAGAATTCATTTTGTAACTGAAAATGATTTCTGAATTCTATATGTTGTTTTGAAATGGGAGGTAGAGTTCTGAGCAAATTTTCTTAGTTCTGAAAAATAAGAACTCAAGGAACTGATCATGAGACGTCTGGGATTAAGGGAAGCATAGCAGATTTTATTTTCAATAATAAATTTTGTTTTTTCTTAAGTCAACATGTTTCAAGTGGATGTTGCAAGCAACTTCACGATTTCAGTTCGCGAAGTGACTATGGGTTTATAAAAGAAGTCTTAATTTTTCTATTCTTCATTGAATTTACATTTACTATCATTTTCTGCTTTCTTTTGCATTGTAATGTGGAAGTGAATTTAAAAAAAGTCAAAATTTAAAAAAAAAATAAAATAAAAAAGGTCAAACTATAAAACATCCACAAAGAACAAATAAAACAATTCTATCGTGCCCAGATGCCTAGTGTAAACTGCATGGCAAAAAAAAAAAAAAAAACCTGCAAAAAATCAAGGCATTGATGATATATCCATTCTACACCTCGTCCCAAATGAATCAACTGAAAGAAAACAGCAATCATGCTTTCCCTCTTGATGGTGAGGGAGGGCAAAGATCATGCTGATAACATAGGTATGCATAGCTGGGATAAAAATGATCTTGAACAAAAAAAGACAACATTCTCTATGAAGTATACCAAGAAATACAATTCAAGATAAACCTTTCCAAAACTGAAACTACGATCTGGAATTGGAATGAAAGCAGCGATGACCTCCAAACTCTGTGTTTATCATAAACATTCAGGATGTGGATTTAGTAAACAAATCAAATACCGAGGTGTATGGATCACTTATAACAAATTTAAATAAGGAAATTGTTGTGCTAGAGGTAGTTTTAACCAGTATTAGAAACGGCTACAAAACCAAAACATTAACTGGAAAATTCCAGTCATGTTCTTAAATAGCCTTATCAGATGAAGACTTTCATACGGATGTCATGCATGGTGCTAAATCTGTTCAGAAGTATTTAAACTGTCAGCTGTATGCAATTATTTTCTGAGAAATCAATAGTTAAAAGTAGCTTTGAGCAAATGAAACTTGTAGGCCTTAGCAAGGATTATCTTCTCTTGTTGTCCTTCCTTGAATCCCCTGGGCTATTCAATTTCTTCATAGCATGTTCACCATAAACCATTTTTAATAGAACCACCAGCAATTTTACCCATCTTTACACAAAACCTGATGTTAAATCAACTGCTCAAGTTTCATTTCATTTATTTCTACCAATAACATGAACACATACAACTTCCTCTACTGCTTGTCAATGAATGACCCATCTAGTGTGCATCTCAATAAAAGGGAGGTTGGAACATATCCAGATATGCTTAGGTATGAATATGATATCATCATTCTTAATATCAACCACTTACTCAGTGATATGATATAGTCATTCTTACTATCAACCACTTACTCAGATCAGTTGTTAGAAATAGCTGTGAACCAGTAGATCTTACTGAGGACTCTCCTTCTTTGAAAGTTGTGGAGTGTATTTGAAGAATCATAAACAAGAACTTTACCAAATGACAGAAACATCACTTGAGGACTTTCAACAACAGAGACAACTAAAATTGATAGCACAAGTAACTCAAAGACAAAAGAAATGATACAATCAAGATGTTGAATTTCCCCACATCATCAAACAAAAGGTTAGGAAGGAAACTCTCCACAAGCAACGACAACAACTTAAGAAACCTTTTCCCTGAAAAACAGTTTAGAACAAAGATTTTATAAATTTCAACCAAGCACCAATTGCTTAGTAAATGAATGCTGCATATTTTCTTATAAGGAAGCAGCTAACATTACCATTAACATGAAACAATTTTGAAATTTATAAAAATAAATGTTTTTTTTCCCAATTTTTACTATATATATTCATTTATACAAGTTTGATTAAAGACCAACTTTGGATATTTGTTAACTAAATTTTTTTGTTTATTTATTATTTACTTCAGACCACTTTTCTGATTTCTGGTACACATTTAAATAAAAATTCTCCAGTGTCTAAGTACTGTTGGTGTTCATAAGCCATTGCCAAAGTACTTTGTTTTGTGTACTATATCAAATGATAAAAGATGAAAAAAAAAGATGAAACGAATATTGCACAAAAACAAAAATTCTTTGATAATAGCTTTAAAGATCTGAAAGTACTTGGACATTGAAGCAATTTATAATTAAATTTTAACTGGAAACTAATAAATGGTTCAAAATACAGAAAAAATTAAAAAAAAATCTTTCAC